ATATATATTATATATATATATATATTGCAATACATACATGATACTACACTTTCTTTCAAAGGAAATTTTGGTGTTGACATGATGAACGCTTGAGAATACAGCTACGATATTAATGAGTTCCGTTAAGGCAACGCAATGGTATTTCTTAACAGTGACAGCATTTCACTTAGGCGCAACGATTAGACATAATTAAATGATACCGTCATCCATGGTCAAAATTTTGTACTCCGTATACAAACGATAAGCTATTGTTGAGATTAGAACTAAATTCAACAATTACCAATAATGAAACCTAACCTAATAATAAAGATAAATAAGAAATTTAATTTATAACCTCCTAATAAGAGCACTTCAACGAAAATATTTTTCACTTGCACGCAAATTGTTCTGTACCTCATATATGACGTAAGTGAACGAACAATAGATAGAAACAATAATTAATGATGCCCATGACCTTACAACGAAATCATCAGTTGTCAACTTTTTACGCAACGCGCTGGCTATGTTAAAGGAAGTTTCCATTGAAATCGAAAGCTTGAAATGATAAAAAACCTTATGAAATTTCTTTTAATAAAATACGTGTCATGAATATAATATGCTCAATGATATACTAATTGAAATAAAAAATATTATTTTTAATAAGAGAAGATCTAATTTCATTCATAGTGTATACTAGATTTTTCAATCTTGCGTTTGAATTTCCTGCTCTTTCAGGCCAATATTAAGACCATTCTATATTGATCGTCGAAAGCGTCATGTAACTTTATTCCGTATCTACAATAGATTTTTAAGCTTTAAGCCATAAGGAATGGATGAATCACAATCAATTATTTTTCTCTTACTCGACTGTAGTTGGTCAATTCTTACGGCTTAAAGCTTAAAATATCTATTGTAGATTCGAACTTAAAATTGAAGCAACGGATTGGCTGAAGAAACGAGCTTGTGGCTTGCGACGTCTACAATACGACCAATGTAGAATGGCCTTAATATTGACTTCATATCAATCATCTATCTAACTAGGGAAATTATTAAGGAACTTTAGGGAAAACAACTAAGCTGCGCAATGCACATGTGACTAATGAAGAAAGTGATGTACGATACGAAAGAACTATATATATATTTTTTTTTGTTTATAGTATAGTGAAACAAGAGAAGCATCATAATTGATAAATTTAACATTTACTTTTTATTTAACAACATTTAGGATTTATAAGAGTAATGTGTTTTTGTACTATCGGTAAGCATGACTCGAATATAATTTATATTTGTAATGAATAACGCAATATTGATATAGGATTACTTATTACATTATCCTTTGTAGGAAATAAATTGGGACGCTATTACAGTTTAACATATTGCAATAATATATATTTGTTGTAGTCGTTGAAGTATACCAAAGGAAATAAAATGGGTAAAGTTTTTTTGTAAAGACAGTATTTTATCTTCAGGAAGCAATGTTTTATAGTAAATAATTAAAAAATGATTTCTTTTGTAGATAAAATGTGTACTCCCGAAGAAATCGAGAAAAAACGTTTATTAGCATTGCAGAGAAGGCAGCAATCTCAATTAAAAGCACAAAATACACCCATAAGTAATCAAACTTATCAACAGTCAAAATTAAATGACAACGAAAATATTGTATGGCAAATCAAAACAAATTTAAATGACAACGAAAATATTATACGACAAAATAAAACAAACAATCGTTTCAATCCTATAGAACTCAAAAAATTTTTCAATCCAATGTCTGTAACAGGAAAATGTTACATGATCAGTAATGATAGATTTGCCATAGAATTATCAGCATTTATACCTGAAATTATTGATACATTTAGAACAGTTCCAAGCAGAATATATGGTAAATATAAATTGCTTGACTTAATGTACAATATTTTAAATTTTTATTAATATTTAATTTTACAGATTCAAAATCCAGAATATGGAATTTTCACCTCAATGATTATAATAATTTATTAAAGACATTGTATTCTAAGCGTTGTGATTTATCTCTAACAAGGATACCAGAGGCTGTCCTTCGGGTAATTAGAAATTAAAGTAAAAATACATTAAGAAGCTATAAATATAATCGCATATATTTTTATTTTAGATATTCAAAAAAAACTTAAAGTCAGACACTCAATTACCAGAACATGATTTATCAAAAATTGATGAAAAGTTAATAAAATCTTTAATGCCGTTTCAACGAGAGGGCATTTGGTAAATCTATTTTTATATGCAATTACTATGTGCATATTTTATATATTTTTATTAATATATTTTGTATAATTTATTCCAGCTATGGTATATCGAAGAATGGTCGTTGTATGATTGCAGATGATATGGGTTTAGGAAAGACTATACAAGCGTTAGGCATTGCACATTATTATAAGGAAAGTTGGCCTCTTCTTATTGTGACTCCTTCGTCAGTGAGGTAAGCTCTGTTGTAATTGATGTAATGAAAGTATTAGTATTAGAGATGCTTTATATAGGTATCAGTGGTCTGCAGCAATCTGTGAATTCTTACCATCCGTACCTGTACATTATATTAAGCAATTTGAGCATGCAAAAGATCGCATTGAAGATGACAAAATCACTATAACATCATATGA